AGACTTTGGAAGATTTACTATGGTTTGCAGTAGAGTTGGCAATTATGCCCAAAACCCAATAACCCACCCAACCCACCCACTAATTTGAGAGATTGGATAGGGTAAATTGGGTGTTGGGTCAAATTTGGGTTGGGTAATAAAAGCCTACATATATTTTGGGCGGTTTGGGTATTTGTGTTGGGCACCCATTACCCAACTTAAGTTAAAAAAAAAATAAACAAATTAATTTTGTTGCTCAATGAGGGTCATTAGGAAGTTGTCGACCTGTAGAATTTAAATCTAGTTTCTTATTATTTGTTTGTTAGTTGCTAAATCTAGTATTTCGTAGCCAAATAATTAATTAATGTCTACTCGTTTCCTGATTTTACGAATACTACTGTCATTGAGGGGGAATTGGTCCCGTATATTCTTAAAAAAAAAAAGGGAAAAAAAGAAGCAAATTTTCAAAGTTTGGAAGCGGTCAATGTATGGAAACAGGCTATGCTGCTGCTTTTGGTCCAATTTGCCATCATTTTTATATGGCGTAATTCCAGAAACCTCTCCTGAGATGAGGTTTCTAACAATTTCACTAACCTTTTTAGAATTTAAACAGTTAGTATATGCATGTATTTGTAAAAGTATATTAGGATGTATTTTAGTATATTTGTATGCGTAAAAATAGTGTGTTTGAAATGCATATTATTTACACCTTATTTACACACACTGATTTGCTTGTATCATCTACACATTTTTCAATCACCTTTCTATGTCACATACATCACATTAAAAAAATGTTACAATATTTTTTTCACAAAATTATCTCAAATAATTTACTATCCAAACACACTAATGTATTTCAAATGAATTTAAGAAGTGAGTGTGTGTTTGTATCGTGAGTGTTTTAGTGTGTGAAAATATGTCTATCTATATAAAAATGGTTTATGTGTGTGAAAATTTTTTGTTATATGTGAAAATGTATTTGAGAGAGTTTATGTATTAAAATCTATTAAATTAATATATAGGGTCATATTTGGGTCATGGTTTTGTGATGACCCAATTCAAAATTAATCCAAATTTAAGTTAGGCGGATTGGGTATAACTCATTTAAATGAAAATTCAATATTAACCCTCCCAAAACCCGCTCAACCCACCCAATTGCCAGGTATAGTTTGCAGGCATAGTTCAAAGATTTAATTCGAATGTGCATGTATTTGGGTTTGTTTACGTATAATTTTCGTACTACAAGAAACAATTATTTTAATTGTAAAATTGGACATTAAATGTTGGAGACATATAGCTAATTGCGAGTTGAAAAAATGAAAAAAAAAAAAAAGGACATTGCTAACTAGAAAGTCCCATGAAGTCCCATCGTTGGCGATGTTGCGAGGTAAAGAAAAAGTATGGTTCTGCCTATTATAGAAGTCAATTCAAAATGCCTTATACATCCTGACCTATTAATGACTATCAAGAAAAAGTCTAAATATTAAACGTCCATGCTAACAAAATTTCCAACGCCCTTTGCACGCTGAAGACTTGGTGCATGCGGTTGTTAATTGACATCTCAGATGTTGTAAGAGTTATTAACGGAAACTTGCAGAATAGATCCACATCAAATTAATGAAGGTGAGCGAAAAAAAAAAGATGATTAGGACGTCCAGAAATTCATGACTTAGACTAGTACAAGATTAATTATTGGGTTACAAAATTACAAATACTCCCACTTTTTCTGAATGGCACAATTCTCAAGGCTATTCATTGCAGAAAAAAATTCATGACTTAGACTAGTTCATGGTTTTTTCAAAGGCAACGTAATGGAAATTATAGTCAGTTGGATCCTAATGTTGCTTGACTCGATTACCACCAATCAAAACTTCCCTAGTTGTCTTCAGAGACTACAGTAATGTTATGAATTATTTGCAGATTGTTATTTGAGTTAAAGAGACAAAACGATGGGAAGCAAAATACGAACACATCAGCGGAAAAGCTAAAGAGTTACGATGACCTCTTCCAATGCACCCAAAAAAAAAAATTACATCATATTCAAATGGTATTACACTGTTTAGGAGGAGTTGCGTTTCAAAAGATTATTGTGTGCACAAATACTCATAAATTATGATCCCCTAATCGTGTTTCCACCTCATGATTATCGAAGTTAATATGAAATACAAAAAAGAATAAACTAGCAATTTTTGAAGTTAATTTAATTTGGTCCCTTGACTTTGCTTGGAGACTAGTTAACTTTGAAACTCATTCCTTAGTTTTTCTTTAAATTTTACAAGATGCCATGTACCATTAAAAAAAAAAAATAAAGGAAAACATGCCGATTAAAAGCTAGCTATCAATGAAATCATACTAGGTTCTTGCAAACTGGTCCACACGTACTTGCTCAATGAATTAGGTGAGTAAAGGTTAGTTTAGCACTTCACTAAATAATCCCTCAATTGCTGCTGGTTGAGCATATATATATATATCAGCAGCGATTTCCTGAGGACAATTCCGAGTGCTTATTGTTTTGAGCCTTTGAGGGAGCATGTTCAGCACTGTCTTCACTTAATACTCAATCAAAGAATTTACTCACAGCATAATAAATCGTATTTGGAATCATTACTAATCAATAGATAATAGTTTGGAATCATTGCTAATCAATCATATTGGTTGCGTTATAGTACGTAACTACGTATTAGCATTTGTAATCTACAATAGAACTAAACACATGTAGTATTTGTTGTTATTTTTCTTTTCTCTTGGTTATTGATTATAAAATTGGTTGTGATTAACTTGGAAGATTTGATTTAACGTGGTGGGCAGGCATAGTTTGAATCTATTCTATATACGGATAGAGATAATGTTGTAAATAATGCGCATGCTCTTTTTATTTCCAATTTGCATGTATTTGGGTTTGATTACGTGTATTATTTTTCCTACTTCAAGTAACAATTTTTTATGTAAAATAGTACATAAAATTTTGGAGGCGTATGGCCAACCGTGGAATGTATTTAAAAAAAAAAAGCTTAATAGTGTTATAATATAAATCAATCTCTCAATTTAATTCTGACTTTTATTCCTAAATTTTAGACACATACACCCACCCCTAAAAAGTGAATATTGTTGCAAAACTTAAAATCTCAAGTGTGCGTTATAATAAAAATCAACCTCTCAATTTAATTATGACTTTTATTTCTAAAATTTAGACTTATATACCCACCCCGCATATTGTTGCAAAACTTAAAATCTCAAGCGTTCACACTTGTGTGAACGTGAGTATGACAAGGATATAAACATATTACAATCTGTCTAATGGATACCCGTTAAAATATATTTCAAGTATTAGATTTTTAGAAATATAAGATTAATTAGGGAAATCATATAAATGCAAGGGGATTAATTAGAAAAAGTGTGCGAATGCAAGAGAAAGTAGTAATTATTAGTGTGTATATGTGCATACGATAGGTTGAGTAGGATGTAGGTATATTAACGAGTGCTCATAAGACACCCGTTAGAAAAACCCAACATATATATTATTAGGATGTAACAAAAATTGTCCTGCTGACCATGAAAATCTTTGGCTCCACCACTGCAGGCAGGAATGGATACCCCTTCTAAAGTGTTGCTTATGAATATAGGTGTCAAACCAACACATTTAACTAAATTTACTTATACCCGCCCATGAATAGATGGGTATAGATATCTTAAATTTTTGCATATGGGTATAAATGGGTTACCCAATAATACCCATTTATTAAGTGGGTATTATTAGGTAATCCATCAAACCCAATTGACCCACTTAGAATTATTTTTCCCCAAATCCTTCTCTTTCCCCACCCTTTTTTTTCCAAATTTTTCATTTTGTTAACTACTTTTGTTATTATTATTATTATTATTATTATTTGTTGGTTTTATCTTATCATTTTATTTTCTCTTAGTTTGTTAACTTGCTCATTTTTCAGTATTACCAATTTATGATAAGTTTTAGCCTTTTTCCCTACCTTTTCAAAATGAAATTTTAAATTTACACATGAAAAAAATGTTAGGGGTTCAAAATTTTTGGATAAAATTTTTATGTTAACTTTTATAGTACTTAGTTCAAATTTTTATATTCTTATTATTCAACTATTAAATACTATGTAATTTTACGACATAGAGTATAGATGGAGAAAAAATTGGTAATTAGGCTTATTGAACATTATAAGTAAATATTTAAAACTAATGATGGGTGCAAAGGATGGTATAAATTGATAACTTAGTTTGCAAAAATAAATTTAAATGAGTTTACAAAAAGTTAAAATAATACCCATTTATATCCATTTAATTAGATATGTATAAATGGATTGACTCACTTATACCCATTATCCATTACCCATTCTACTCAATCCAAATCCGTCCAAGTCACCCATTTTGACACCTCTATTTATGAGTATGTGCCACGATCAACTACTTCACTGAAGCAGCGAATTAAGCTCCACTTGACATTATTATTGTCTAACTGGAAAGTCCCGTCCCATGCATGAAGTCCCGTTGTTGGGGATGTTGAGAGGAAAAGAAAAGTCTGGTTCTTCTTTATTACAGAAGCCAACTACTAAATGTTATGGTCCAATATCGAATGGTTAACAAAATTTCCAACGTCCTTTACACGGTAGTTGACATGTCACATGTTGGAATTTATCAGCCAAGAATTATTAACAGCAACCTGCAGAATATATCCACATCAAAGGCTAGCTAGAAAATAGATGATTAGTACGTTCATAATTTCTTTGAGTTAGACTAGTAGTACCCTATTGTGTACAAATATATATATACATACATACATACATACATACATACCGATCTTGTAGATCTATGGGTCCAAATTTTGTCACATCTTTAAATACTTGAGTTAGTAAAATGGTGTGTTAAATTTTGAACCACCAAACCTATATACACTCGATCTACCTAAGTGTTTGCTCTAGACTACAGTCGTATTCATTCCCAAAGTCACCCCAACTAGAGAAGTCAACTTGGGGGAAGGGAAATTTATTTTTAAAAAGAAAAAGAGAGAGAGAGTCGGAAAAAGTGAAAAATTGATCAAAATTCAGCGGAAAAGGTTTTTTAAGGCAAAGTTTGGATAGCTGAGAGAGGTAAATGCTAAAATGTATTACATGCGGTCACATAATTCCAAAACAATGACTATATATAGAGGTTGCAACAGAATGGAGGAATGAGAGAATATCGCCGATTAGGACTATTGATTGATCATATAGGTCGGTCGATATGAAGAAACACTACTTTTACTTGTTCCCTCTTGCAGTACCTGTTTTGCTGCACTATCTAATGATGACCAGTTGCACAGCCATGAAAAGATTAAGTTTAGGCACTGATCAATCTGCTCTTTTAGCCCTGAAAGCCCATATCACTTCAGGACAGCAAGAATTCTTGTCAGAAAACTGGTCTTCTACAGCTGCTGCATCCTCTGTCTGTGACTGGATAGGAGTCCAGTGCAGCTCTCGACACCAAAGAGTGACTGCTTTAAATATTTCAAACATGGGACTCACCGGCACAATACCTCCGGATTTGGGAAACCTCTCCTTTCTTGTTTCTCTTGATCTGAGAAATAACTACTTCCACGGAAATCTGCCCGAAGAGTTGTCACACCTGCGCCGCCCGAGGTTCGTCAGGTTAACCACTAACAACTTCACTGGAGAGATTCCAATGTGGTTTGGTCACTTCCCAGAACTCCAGTTCTTGTTTCTGGACGGCAATGGTTTTAGTGGTTTTATTCCTTCTTCTATATCCAACTTGTCAAGAGTGGAAAAGTTAGATCTAAGCTACAATTTCCTGGAAGGAAATATTCCAGAAAAGATAGGAAATCTTTCGGTCCTCAGAGAGCTGTATCTATCTGGGGATGACTTAGTTGGTCAGATACCATTGAGTTTATGCAAGTTTTCTCAACGTCAGGTGCTAGACTTGTCTAACAACAGGTTAAGCGGGCAAATACCTAAAGAAATTGGAAATCTGGAGAAGCTCAAGGAGTTATACCTCATCACCAATAACTTAACAGGTAATAATTTTGCTTTGCCTTTGTATACTCACATGGTCAAACAGCGGTTAATAGTTTTTTTTTCCCTGTTTGACACAAGGATTAGAAAAGCGTGTTCAAGTGAAATCAAAAGATATATGCATACTATTTATACTATTCAGATGAAATCAAATAAAGATATGCATGGGTTTTAACAAAACTATTCATACACATGATCAATGAGAAATAAAAAAAAATTCATTTTGTGAAATGTTAACAATTGAAAATTTTTCTTACCAAAAAAAAAGGATCGAAAAATTCATTTTGTAAAATGTGAGAACTATGGAATGAATTATGTAAATTTTGATTTGACATTTTGTCCTTAAAAAATGCTCACGTACAAGATACATAATGGATTCCAGCCAAAAACTAGTTGAAAACTTAGATAGAAACCAAATTTGACCAATATGAATTTGTAAGGGACGTAAAATTATACTTCTAAAAGTAAGGGACGAAAACAATCATTTTGCAAAATGTGAGAAACATTTTCAACCATTTTCTCTTTTCAAAACATGGTCAAATGTCATCAATTAGACAAATTACAAATGCACATTTGTTTTAGGCATGATTTAACATACCTCCCCCAACGTTCATGACAATTATAGGCGGTGCCCTCTAAGTTTGAAAAATTACACCTACATCTCCTCTTGGTGTAAAATAACAAAAATAACCTTTACGAACTACAAAATGCAACGGCTCCATGGAGGGAATAATGCATTTGAAGTTAAATTTAAAAAATCATTTAATAGAGAAAAAAAGAAGAAGAACTACAGCAATAGATTCTATCTCGTCTTAGCCACCAAAATCACCTAAATCTTTCTCAATATGGTCATAGTTTGGGAGAGAGAAGAATTTAGATTCCTATAAACAATAAAGTGTTACTGAACTAGCATCCAATTTTTTTTTTTATAATTCTGTCAGCATGAATAATTTTTTATTTTGAGGGAAAAGGAATGGATTTGGTAGATAATTTTCTTAAAGTATGTGAGTAGTATTTTTAGTTCAAAATTATTAAGGAACTTTGTATTTGCGGAGGAAAATCAAGTAAGGGTGATTTAGGATTATCAATAGCAACATTTTGTTTACATCAGCAAAGTGAGCCCCAAACAAATTTCTAAAAAAGGTTTTTACTTTTTCAAACTTAGAGGGCATTGCTTGCAATTGTCATAAACCTTAGGGATGGTTTGTGAAACTGTTCCTTTGTTTTAAGTAAATCCATGTTTGCATTCTGTCGGATGTGAATGTAAGAAGCTAAGGATTGTAAACTTGAAAGGGCAAGACATATATGGAGGTGAATATGGAGAAAATTAGATTATTTCCAAACTTTTACGGAGGAGAGTTGTAATATTATAAGTGGCTAAAGTTGAAATTTTCAAAAATTGGAAGGTCTAGGTTCAAATTTCCTTTTTCCCTCGCTACTTTTTTAAATCTTAATTATCCTTCTCTTGCTATAATATAAAATTAAAAAAATGTGTATAAGTGAAAGTTTGAGAAGCTACAAAGGGAATAATAATTAGTAATGGAAATTTCAATTTCTTTGGGCAGCCTGCTGCTGCAACGTCCCTCTCTATTCTTTATTCCAAAAGTTTAAAACATGATTACCAACACAAAATGTCGCTTGCTAGTTAGATTTCGATCAAGTAAGACTGTTTTCAATATATCTCTAAAATGAATATGATTAATTTTGTCTTTACGTTAAATTGTTAGGTGTAATTCCCCGAGAGATTGGCAATCTGTACGGTTTAGAGCTTCTCGTATTGGGGAGTAACAACTTGACAGGTAAATGTATAGCTTCACCACTACTTATATATGGTCTATTTACAATCATGCAACTAGCAATATTTGGCGTAAGTCCTGAAGAACCTTCGCCATCGAAATCTTGTGAAGGTCATCAGCGGTTGTTGGCACCAGGATTTTAGGGCCTTGGTGCTTGAATACATGTGCAATGGAAGCCTTGAGAAGTGGCTGTATTCTGACAACTATTTCTTGGATACTCTACAGAGATTGAATATAATGATAGATGTGGCAAGTGCAGTGCAATATCTCCACGAAGAATATTCGACGCTTGTGATTCACTGTGATTTGAAGCCCAGTAATGTCTTACTTGATGAAGATATGGTTGCCCACGTCAGCGACTTTGGTGTTGGAAAAATGCTCGAAAAGGACGAAAGCTTTGCATGGACCAAGACCTTAGCTACAATTGGCTACATTGCTCCAGGTAATGATTCTTCAATCTTAATCCTGAAAGTTTGTATGGCATTTAGTTTCTTTTTTCGTTTTTTTTTCTTATGTCACACTGGTTCAATTTGAACGTTGTTTGTAGAGTATGGATCTGAGGGGTTGATATCAACAAAATGCGATGTTTATAGCTATGGAATCATGCTGATGGAAGTTTTTTCAAGAAGAAAGCCAAATGATGAAATGTTTGCTGGAAATTTGAACTTGAAGAGTTGGATAAATGATTCTCTGCCTAATTCGATTCTTCAAGTTATTGATGCTAAGTTGTTGAAGCATGAGGATGAAAATTTCACTGAGAAGTTAGAGGGTTTAGCATCCATCATGGAATTAGCCTTAAAATGTGTTCGTGAATCTCCAACTGAAAGACTCAGTATGAAAGTTGTACTTGAAACACTGAAGAAGATCAAACCCAAATTCTTGCAAGTAATGTAGGCTGATGAATAGTTCGGATCGAATATGTAGCATCTTTTATAATCATCCGAAAAATTAGGGAAAAGAGGCAATTTGTTGATGCCAAATAAATCAAAGCACATGAGCTATGAAAGACACTGCGTTACTGCAAATCAAATTGTATGATTAAAATTTGGAATTTCTGAATGTAGACAGAAGCAGGGAATGGACCAGTGTTCAAAAATAACCTCCTCTTCGAGATTTGAAATTTGTGAACGAAGCAAATGTCTCTGGCTATACAAATAACCTCCTCATCTGTATAGCAGTGTGGTAAGTAGTGTTATATCACCACTCAGCCAATGACAACCATGTGTTCCACCTCCTTGGTTCCAGGTGAGACATACACCTGAGATACATTTCCAACACTTGGTTGACCCTTTCTGTTTGGCCATCTATTTGAGGATGGTAGGCTGTGCTCATGCTCAGTTTCACCCCCAGTAGTGTGAATAATTCAATCCAGAACTGACTGATGAAGATTTTATCTCTATTTGAGATCATGCTTTGAGGGATGCCATGTAGCTTACTGACATGATCCAGAAAAATTCTAGCTATCTTAGGGGCATCAAAAGGGTGAGATAAGCTCAGGAAGTGTGCATACTTAGTAAACCTATCCACTATAACTAGGATAGTGTCCTTCCCTTCTAATCTAGGTAGCCCTTCTATGAAATCCATGGTGATGTGGCTTCAGGAGTGTTGTGGGATAGGGAGAGGTTGGAGAAGTCCTGGATAAGCCACACGTTCATCCTTACACTTCCTGCAGGTGTCACATTGCAAGATTGCTGTCTTGATCTCCTTGAACATGCCTGGCCAGTGAAAGAGCTGTTTAGCTCTCATCCAACTGGCCTGTATGCCTAAATGTCCCCCTAGCTGGGAGTCATGAAGGGTAGAGATGAGCTTTCTTTGACGTTTGAATTTGCTGATCAGTGTCTATGCATGATACTTTGTGCAAATTTTTGTCTCCCTTGATGTGCAAATAATAATTATTTCATTTGCATCATAAACACATTTCCCAACCCACCTTTTTATATTCCTAATCAACTTTTTATCTCACATACATCACATCACAAAAAGTGCTACAGTAATTATTCCAAATAATATTTCAAATAATACTCTATCCAAACAAACCCAATGTATTGGTTGTTCGCAACCTGGTTTGGGTACGTAGTAAGTGGAAGTTTCAGAATTGTGAACAGTTTAATGCATGTTTCATCATTTTCCTCCTTTTTTTTATCTTTTATTATTTTTGTAGTCAATTTTCCCATTGTAGAATAATATCCTCAATTTTTTCCTTTTTATGTGTGTCTTTTGTACAAGTATTTTTTGCAAGGCATCTCGACATTTTCGAATTGCCAGTTTATTATTCTTTCATTATTTCTTTTTTTAGTATGGCATCTACCTGCTAATTTTGGGAGGAAAATGAGAAACGAAACTCGAGCGAGGAGCGGGATTCAGGGAAGAGTGACGCCCAGACTTTTTTGGTTTCCTGTTTGTATACACCATCCAAAACAATAAATACACCATCCTCCCTGGCCTACTACAACTCTCCCTTTATATCTTAGAATCCCACTTTGATAAGTGTAATCAGAGTTCAGGCCTGGACATGTCAAGATTTCTTGATGATATCTTGTGCCCAGTTATCACCCTGGTAACTTTCCAGCACTTCTTTCATCCATTCTGGTGTGATTGTGGAAGTTACTGCACACTCAGCTTCATTCCTCCCCTTCCTGGACAGTGCATCTGCTACTACATTTTCCTTCCCCTTCTTGTAGCATATCTCATAGCTCAGGCCCAGCAGTCTAGTCAACGACTTCTGTTGGAGAGGGATAGTGATCCTCTGTTCTAGTAGGTACTTCAAGCTTTGGTGGTCAGTGTTGATGATGAAATGGTGCCCTTCCAAATAGTGCCTCCATTTAGTGACTGCTATGACTAGTGCCAGCAGCTCTTTCTCATAAATTGATAGTCCTAAGTTCTTCTGTCCCAAGCTCTGACTGAGATAAGCCAAGGGTCTCTTGTTCTGCATCAATACAGCTCCTATTCCTCCATAGCAAGCATCTGTCTCAATCATAAAGGGTTGGGAGAAGTTTGGGAGGACTAGTACAGGGGTACTGCACATAGCTAACTTCAGCTTCTGAAAAGCATCTTCAGCCTCCTCTCCCCAGATAAAGCCATCTTTTTTTAAGAGAGTAGTTAAAGGTTTTGCAATAGCACCATATCCCTTGACAAACTTCCTGTAGTAGCCTGTCAGTTCAAGAAACCCTTTCAGTTGTTTGGTGTTCACTGGAATTGGCCACTGCATCATGTTGACAATTTTCTTGGGATCAGCTCTTACTCCTTCTGCTGAGATGATATGTCCTAGATACTCCACTTGCTTCTGAGCAAAAGAGCATTTACTCTCCTTTGCATATAGCTGGTGCTGTCTAAGAATCCCCAGGACCTCAATGACATGCTCCACGTGTTCCTCTAATGTAGGACTGTAGATGAGTATATCATCAAAGAATCCTAAAACATGCTTCCTGAGCTGTTTCTGAAAAACCTGATTCATCAAACCTTGAAAAGTTGCAAGGCCATTGGTCAGCCCAAATGGCATGACCTTAAATTCGTATAGCCCTTGGTGTGTCCTTAAAGTTGTTTTGGGTATGTCTTCCTTCCTTAGCCTTATCTGGAAGTACCTAGCTCTGAGGTCAATTTTGGTGAAGTACTTGGATCCATGTAGTTCATCCAGTAACTCATCAATGAGGGGCATAGGGAACTTGTTCTTGATTGTTAGATCATTGAGCTGCCTGTAATCCACAAAAAACCTCCATGAGCCATCCTTTTTTTTTACCAAAAGTACTGGTGAGGGAAAGGGGCTGCTACTCAGCTGAATGATTCCAGTCTGTAGCATTTCCTGCACTAGCTTCTCAATCTCAGTTTTTTGGATGTAGGGGCATCTATAGGGCCTAATTTGGAATGGCTTTGCCCCATCCTTAAGGGTGATGCAGTGATCCTGGCTCTTCTCAGGGGGTAGTCCCTGAGGTTCTTGGAATACATATGTAAATTCCTGCAATAGCCTCTCCATTTCTGGTGGTGTGGGTTCCTGGTCAGGTTCTTTGTCCACTACTGCACTCACCTATGCCAGAATCCCATATGTCCGCTTCCTGGTCCATTTGTACAGTCTACTACCCCTTATTAGTGTCAATTGCACTGTATTGTCTTCCCCTTTTAGTTCTACCTGTTGCTTCCCCTTCCTGAATTTCATACTTAGACCTCTAAAGTCAAATTCCATTGGACTGTACCTGGCTAACTAGTCAACTCCTAGTATCATGTCACACCCCCCCAACCTCAGGGTTTTGAACTGGTGTTGAAACTCCTATCCCTGCATTTTCCATGTCATAGGCTTAACAATGTTTCTGAATTGTAGTTTTTCTCCATTTGCCACCCTTACTGACAGAGTCCCCCCTTCTGTTCCTAATTTTAAGTTTTTGGCCACCTACTCATCAATGAAACAGTGTGTACTGCCACTGTCAACCAGAGCAATAATGGCCTTCCCCTTAATCATTCCTTTGATCCTGATGGTCTTGTGTTCACCCCTCCCTGCTAAGGCATGGATGGATACCTCCATGTGCTCGTTTTCTAATCCCCCCCCAATACAATCACAGAACACATCAGTCTCATCTTTCTTCTCCCCCTCCACTTCAGTGGTTGCCTCCTCATCCTTCTCCATTATCAACAGGTTTAAATGAGACTGTCTGCACACATGTCCTATGGTATAAGGCTCAGCACATTTAAAGCATAGCCCCTTTTCCCTCCTAAGGTTGAGTTCTGCTGGGGTGAGTCTTTTGAACTAGTTCTGGGTATTGGTGTAGTTGTTGTGTGTTTTAGGGGTTGGCCTGTTAGGAAATTTAGGATAGCTTGGGGATTTGTCAGGAGGTTTTGAATAGTTTGGGGTTTTAAGTAAAGGTTTCTGGAAGTTGGAGTTGTAGGAAATGGTTTTATGAATCTTCTGCAGGGCCCTCAGGTTCCTCTCCTGTAGTTTGTCAGCCTCTATGGCATCTACTAGTGTCTTAGGCTTGGCCAATTTTACCATGGTTACTATCTCCTCTTTCAATCCACTAAGAAAACAGGTTTTATAGTAGCAATCTTGTAAATGGGGAAGAGAAGGCATTACCAAAGCCTTGAGCATCTCAAATTGCTCCAAGTAGTCAGTCACTGATCCTGTCTGCATTAGTTTATTGAATTCTTCTATAGCTTCCTCAGGAGAGCCCTCTCAAAATCTCTTGCATAGTGCATTGAAGAGTTCTTCCCATGAAATAGCATCCCTGCCATTAAACACTCCATGGAACCATATATCTACCTTATCCCTGAAATAGAGTTCTGCAACTTTAGATTTCATCTTCTCCTCTACTCCATTGATCATAAAATACTTATTGGCCTTCCTGATCCACTCCCTGGGGTTCTTCCCAGTGAATGTTGGTAGATCTACCTTAGGTAACCTGGAGAGTGTTCTGCTCTCTCTGGACTCAGATCTGTCCTGAACTCTTTTCTGCAACTCTCTCCTCCTGCTGCCTTCCCGGTGTCCTAGTTCTGGCTCTGAGCTGCTACCTTCCAGATCCTTCCCTTTGTCATATAGCTTTGCCAGCATTTGAGCCATCATGTTCATCATACCTTCATACTTCTGATCCAGGTTTTTGAGAGCCTTCTCGGTACTCTCCTGCTTGTGCTCCATGATCCTTACAGCCTGCTCCAGTCCATCACTCCTGTTAGCAAAAGTTCTGACTATACTTCCCAATTCAGTTATTTCTTTTCTTATCTCGTCCTGATTTTTAGTCATTTCCCAATGGCTCGTAGCTAGCTTTGATACCACTGTTATGGTACAGAAACCAGAGAAACCAAAATTTGCAGGAAGCAGAAGAAATCAAGCTCAATTGAATGAAATCAATTAATAATTAATCGATGGAACAATGAGCGAATAAACTTCAACTTTCATTAATTGAATCTGGAAAACTGGTTACAAGAACAGAAGTGACGAATTTAGCTGAGAAGGGGAAAGATTGAAGGAAAATTTGGGAGGGAAAATGAGGATTGCCTTTCAAGCTAATTCAGACGAATCTGAGGGAATAATTCCTAACAAATAAAGCAGACAGGCCTGCTTTTAATACTAACAAATCCTAACAGATTATTAGCTAGACTAATAAGAATGAGGCACGT